TCGGTTGCAGCGATATCACGTGTGTGACAAAAACATTATCACTTTATGAATCCGTTAAAAATAATTTAAAATAGCTATTAATTTAAATATTCAACAACTATTCTTATCCTTCTTCTTTATTTATATTTAACATAATCGTTAGACTCGTTGACTAGTCATGTGTGATATTTGTGAAGAATGAAATAAATATTACACAAGACAGCAATTTAAATATACATTTGTGAATAACGTAATAAAAAATCTAATGTAAAAGTTTTTATAGATTCAAAATTTCCATGTAGCTTTTTCAAGCAGCCTCTCCAAACTTCAGTTTGTCTTCTATAAAACTTCACTATAGATTCAATATATTTCGCTGATATCATCGCAAGGGTGCGCAAACTTTAGCACTAGGGACAAACTTTTTTCCTAGCGATGTACTCTAACGTAGCAAAAAGCGATTTATTCGGAGCACGTGCCTCCGGTGTCAAGGCGGCTAAAATTAAGCGAGAGAGAGAGAGAGAGAGAGAAAGAGTCCCTGCCTTGCCTCCTCATCCGTGCTCACCTTCCGTCACCCCTCGATGAACCCCCTCCTATCCTGTGATGCCAGCTGGCAACCGGAAGTAGGTATAAGGAGCCAGGCGCGGAAATAAAGGAGGCAGTGACGAGGGGTGGTGAAAAACCGGAGATGGGGCTATAGCCGAGGACCGTTGCGCCCGATGCGGCCCACTTTTATTTCCGTCCGCGTCGTTATTATTCGTACACGGGGGTTCTTGCCTCATATCTGCGGCGGGGTTTACGAGCTGAGAAGGGGAAAGTGTAGAATGAGTGAAAATTCCAAACGAGCTAAACAGCTGACGAGAGAAATTCCGGAACCCTAAAATAGTAGTGTGAACTTTTGTGTTATTAAGAGAAAATTATGCAATGAATTAAATTATAATCCATAGAAAAATTTGGATTTGTCCGAGTATCAAATTACTCTTCTTTTCTTTCCATTATATATGTAATCTGAATTACATAACCGATTTTATCGTCGATACTGAAAATGAACCGTATGTTCGTTCATAAATCTTGCAGCCACATATAAATTTTCATTTTAACATGAATTTCTCATTAAAGAAAATTAGCATTGCGACGTGCCTATAAATCAGTGCCGCCCTACAAACATGATTATTTAAGTAGCAGAGGCTCAATTACCAGAATTTCGTATATTAGGTAGCAATAAATTTGAAATATTATGTATTTACTTAAGAAGGAGCAGGCGGTGAGCATAATTTTGCATTTAATCTTTCATAAATGCAAATTGGCTAATAATAGTGAAAGTAAATCTTATTTTCTTGATTTTATACAACGTGCTTCTTGGAAAAAAAGATTTATATAATAATAAAAAAGAATATTGTTATAGTATTTTTAAAATAGTGTTGAAAATGAGAAAGAAAACGCACGTAGTCAAAAGAATGTGAGACAATTCTAATAAAAAATCTACAAAACAGCAATACATTTTGTTACGGAACAATAGCGCTTTTCCATACAATTGGAGAAGTCTTCTCAGGCATGAAGAAAACAATTTTACTATCGGTACAAAGAATCGAAAGAAAAATGCATTTTCGCAGAAACGGATACGAAGCCCATCAAACTAACTGCTTGTTCCTAGTTTGGAATACTGAAACTCGCTCGACCACATCCTGCGCGTGGTCATTTCCGTAGAAGCCGGTCGACGGCTCTCCTTCGATACAATGTTACAGAACCACATTAGCGATATTAGATTTCCGAAGGTTTAGCCTGTGTTTATTATACGTGTTTACCCTACCAGATTATTGACAGATTCCATTGTTTGATGTGTACACAGTTAATCTGTTTACAAAAACAGAAATTTAAACACCTTTAATTCTGAATTTATTTAATTTTGTTAAATTTGGATAATTTTAGAAAATATTTATGAATCAGATTTATTTACTAAAAAAATATTAAAACCGCGCAAATTTCTTTAATTAAGTTTTATAGATATATATTTAAAAGCAAAATTCTTATAATTAGTAATATGAAATATCAGAGCTGTGTGTGAAATCAGTGTGATGTGAGAATTGGTGACATAAATAATATGTCAATATTTTGCTTCTCTTTCAATGTCGGTGTCCTCTTGGGAACATAAATTCCGATTTCACCAGGATCCGTGATATCTCTGGCGAGATACTTGAGCCTGAAGGTTCAAGGCTGAGCATACTTTCAACCGTGCTTCTCGTGGTTCTACGTAGCTTCAGGAGAAATTACATTGAATGTCGGCGGCGTAGGAATATTATCTAGCGGACGTAATAATTTATTAATCTTATCGCAATGATGTCTTAATAATCTTTCACAGCGTCTCGAGATATTTAATCTTACGCATAAACGATAAGTGACATAATTAAAAATATTATCTACATTTTGTGTCATAGCAAATGACGTTCAAATAAAGCGTGGTGAAAGATCGCTTAGAGAGAAATTGCAGAAATAATTTTTAATACTTTATTGATAAATGCGATATTGAAATTTTGCTCCCGATAAACACAAGTATCGCATTCCTTTGCCAATCGAATATATTCGAAACGCATAAGTGCACCGGTATTACATTACACACCCGGCAGACGTTATTTTATCTGCTTCTTCCCGCCAGTGTCGAAGCCCGCTCACCCTTGGGAATTAAAATTTCCACCGCCCCGCCGGGAAGACTCCGAAGACCGACACCGTTTGTACCGCCGATTACCTGAGTCAGCTGTCTCAGAGAGCAGCACCTTTGTAGGACTCGCGGCAAAGGAGGCTGGAAGAAAGCATGGGTTCTTCGCTACGAGCGTCTGCGAGACCGAACGAGCGAACCCTTAGAGTGGAAGAACTTCTGTGATCGAAGAAGCCTCAGCTGTTTGCCAATGGAAGCCATGAAACGAACATTCACTCCGACTGCGATATTTTGCTACAGAGAGGCAGATTGCGACAACATTTGTGGCAATTACGATTAATTGCGATTCTTGATCTCAGACAGAAGTTGGGAGCGACTTAATTAATTGCGTCGGCGAATTAAAGCAGTTCACGTCTGCTACAATTGTCGTGAATCAGTTCGTGGTTTAACGTGGATTATATTAAATTAATATAAAGTGTGAAATAACGAATTCAATCTAATTTAATATTGAGACGGTATCAAAATTGGATTATATTAAATTAATATAAAGTGTGTGAAATAACGAATTCAATCTAATTCAATATTGAGACGGTATCAAAATTGAGTTTTTTAGATTTAATGAGACGAGAATAAAAAATTCTACACTGAAAGCATAGCTTTTTAGTTTCTGTTGCGACTGTCTGTGCAACCGCATTCAATAAAGAGAATTAAATGTGTCGTTATATATGCTTCTGAGAAGTCGACACTGATCTCAGAAAGAAAAGCAACGTCGTTGTTTTCGCCGGCAGCACTGCGTGGTGATAAATTGTGTAGTTTTCTTGATCTTACGACTTACGAAGTGGTGAAGATAGCGCGCGTCGGAAAAAGCGGTTTCTAAGTTAAAACGTGACGTTAATTTGCCGCGGGCGACGTCGATGATACTTTAACTGGAACTAAAGTAATTTCGGTCGGTGGGAACTTTTTCCTCTAGTCTTTCAATTGCGCTCCTCAATTGTTGCCGTAATCGGGCGTGACCGAGATTTATAACTCTCTAATCTGTTACGTCACGAAAAACTCTCAACATGAAAAATTGAAGTTCTTTTCTTCTATCAAAATAAAGCAGTTGCGGAATCAGTGCAATTTTTGGTGAATTAATGTAATTTTTGATACTGAGATTTTAATATTTTAGACATTGTATACATATTTTAAAATTAATAATTATTTTACAGACTCATAGCTATAGATTCGTAATTAAATCTTTAAACTCTCTAAATAAACCGAAATCAATTCTTTAATAATGTAGCCGTATTTATATATTCTTTTGTTTTTTAATCTTTAAATGTAGCACGGTTAAAAACTTTATTTCATAGCCATTTTATAAGTCCATTTTAAATATCTGTTTAAATTAGCCTTCATTAAATCTTCGAAGGTGGTCCGACGTAAATAACTTCGATATCTGGCTCATTAATGGTACTTGTAACTTTGTCCCTCCTTCCTATTTCTTGTCTCCAACAAAAACATTTAAAAGTAGAAAGTACCGAGAATAAGGGACTCTTTGTACTACTAACGAGAGAAGCTAATCTCCCCTGCTCAGGTGAAACTCGCTTTCGACACCTTCTTACGATTCGTTTCCCACGGTTTAGACCAGGTAAAATCCGGAATGTTTTCCTCACAAAATGGGTTTCTTCTTATTCGTTTCTTTTCTCATTCCCGCTCGCCCTTCCCGTCTTGCTTGCTATCTTTTTCTTGCCTCACCCCTGCCGGTGAAATCCTACCGATATTGTCCCTTAATATCTCTTTGATATGAAAAGATTTCCAACGCATAATAATATCGCAATATGCTAAAGTTTCGGTATTAATAACGAGAAATTAATTAATTATATGCTTCGCGAAACACACGATTGTTTTGCTAAATTTTCGCTGGAAAAAAAACTAAACAAAAAATAGAACCTAGGTGAAAGTTTTAAAACTTCTTGCCTGTCGACCAAACCTAACGGTGAATTTAATAGATACCGAAATATAAACATTACGAGATATTGGCACCTTGAGTTGCACGTGCGACATGGAAAAACATCGTAACCATTGTCTCACAAAATAAAAGCAATTTAAGCGTGAACGTACGCTTTGCATTGGTTTTTCTCCGCGTGGGCGTATCGTGTTTTTCCAGGAATTTACCATGTTTCTATGGTTGCACTATAATATAGTCACAGTCTAATTTTTTATCTTTATTTTTTTTTAGAGAAAAAAGTTTAAACTTTGCGTTTCAACGATTGTTGATGGTCGAAGAAATCACCGCGACTTTGCTAACTTTCGGTAGCATTGCGATAATCGAACATCCGAAAACTTTCAGTTCCCGGTGAAATGTAATAAATAAATCGCTTCGGATACTCACGGACTGGTATTTTCTTAGGATCGACGGTGCTGAGTCGTTCCTCGATCTTGTCGATTTTGAGACGCAAGTGTCCGCTCCTTTCGGCCACTTGGGACAGCTCGGCGGTGAGGCCCGCGAAGATGTCCTCGGCGGCGGTCAGGAGGGATGCTAGCTGCTTTAGGGAGCTGGTGAGGGCACCGTTCGCTACCGCCTCGAGCTCGGCACCCACCGGCCAGCCCGGTTGCGAGTCCGCCGGCACGTGGCCGCGGCACAGGTGCCGCGGCTCTACCTTCCGCATCACGAACGGCATCGCGACGATGACGCCGGCGGTCTGGGTAGCGTATTCCTGGTCGACCGCACTCGCGCATAACACACTTTACCGTCGGTTTTCTCTCATCACCGGAGCACCGCATCACCGCACGCGGATCCTTGAAACCGGGAGAATTCCGCGAATCCTTTGTGCCGTCGGCGCGACTCCATGCCGCGCGGTTGCCTTCCGTCACTTTTCAACTTTTGTATACTTTTCTATTGCGTCACCGCGGCTCGTTTCAATTTCCCTCCCTTTAAACCCTCTCGGCACTTTCACTCTGTATTCCCGTCGGATAGCGAAAGATTGATTCAATCGCGCGCGTCACGAACCGATACTCGCATTACGAAGATCGTATGTGCGCGACATTGCGGCGGATCTTCCGGAGAGAAACCGCCACTCGTTCTTTCGCGCGGATTTTTTTGGCGGGGTGCGATGTGCGATTGGATAGGGACGACGAACGGAGAACGCGCGAGACGACGGCGGGGATGCGTCGTCGTGAAACGTACCGCGCGCCGCGACGGTGGTACGCGAAGTGCCGGCCGGTTTGGTAGCTAGTCACCGACCCGGTCGACGGGTTCTCCCATCTCCCATTCGAGTGAGTGCGAAAAGCCGCTTTTGCCAGCTGTCTGGCTGTAGACAGGCTGCTATCGCCATCTCTTCGCCAGACCGGCCGCGTTCTAATACCTACTACCGCTATAACATTTTTAATATCATTCAAAATAATAAAATGCACAACATAACATAAATATGTGAATGTGAATTAATAAGAATGTTGGAATAACGAAAAATTAAATTAAAAAATAGAAAATTGTTTAGCGTGTCGACTTGACCAGCAGCGAATAATATAGGAATCGGAAAACTGATGAAGTTACTCAACTTCGTAATTCGCAACTTGGAACTGCGTTATCAGAAGAAGTAAATGTAGTGCATATATCAGACACCAATAACGAGTTAAAATTTCCAGCTGATTATCATGAATTCTCATGAGAGATTTAAAAATTATCTTATCGCATTAGTTGAAAAATTTTAAAGGAAACAGGCATTTTTAAATCGGAAGAGTTAATCATTTCATATGCACATATTTTATTAAAAATATAAGTATATTAAAAGAAAGCTCAGTATTTTATTAGAAATAAGTAATCAAAATTAGGACCATTTATCAATGATATAAAAAGTATTAAATATACTGGTGAAATTTTTTTCATACTTTCAAGCGATATTTTGAAAAAAAATTGTTTATAACTTGCATTATATCGATCACTGCGAGCAATGATGGACGACTGACTATTAGCGGATGCCTTTAGAGTATCAATAACAGAATTTGTGTCACACCGGAAATTGATAATATGAAATCCCGAGAGAGATAGATAGAGAGATAGATAGATAGAGAGAGAGAGAGAGAGAGAGAAAGAGAGACGTGATAAAAACTTAAATGTCCGAGTGACATTCTTCGTGAACTGTTTTAGAATGAACCGGATACACCCATCAATAGCCATAATATACGGAGCTGTGATACGCCCACCGGGATGAAATGGTTGAAAAGAGCCGTGTAGCTTACTCTCTTCACATTTTATCGAAAAATGACCAATATCTACTAACAGTATACATATTACACACTGCGTACTGATGCAATTACACACTCCGTCCTCATAGAAAGCTCATAGGCAACTGGACGTACCGAGAGAAAAGAATAGTTACAATAACCATAATCTATAGTGTTTTCAGGCGCCAACCATATTGGATAATAAATTTATCATGCTTCACTCGTATTAACGATAATTATGAGTGTACAGATAACCATTACGATATAAGTCTACTAAGTATGTAGCGTTCCCAGGTTGCGAGAGGGCGCCTATCGTATGTGGCGCTAAAAATTATCGTATTTGAACAAAAATGATCGTATTTGAACAAAAATGATCGTATATTTAGAAATATTAAAAAAATGAATCATTTAAATACTATTCCTTTTTGTAGAGATAATCGCAAATAAATTCATAATCAATATTAATCGCTCTCGGATTGATTCTAGTTCACTTTCACGAAAATGCTAATATAGATATTAACAAGTATTAGAAATGGACATAGGTGAAAAGGGAAAAGGATTTGAATTTTACAATTCCAGTAATTAATATATAGTATGTGGCCAATAGTAACGTAGACAAGCAGATGCCACCTAGGAATCTTCAGCTAGTGATACAAGTTTATATAAATTTATACCATAGATCATTATTCTGTCTTTGTTTGATATTCATGAACATTTATGTCGATTTGTGTCATTGTGGGCCGGTTGTTCCAACTTCTTGGTAGGTTTATCCGTCAGTTATTTATTAATAAATATCAATAATCCTTACTCAATAGTTGGAATACCAAGTAAAATTACATCTTGGTAATAACGATAGAGGTAATTTTACTTGGTATTCCAACCATTGAGTAAAGATTACTAATATTTATTAATAAATAACTGACGGATAAACCTACCAAGAAGTTGGAACAACCGGCCCTGTGTCTAGCTGGAAAATTTCTTAAATAGCGAAGTGCCACGCTATCATTTCCTCAAATTATCGTATATTTACGTACGATACCAAAGTGGTATCGTACATCGTGAAATGACCAAAATTATCTTGCATATACGATAATTATCGTACGGATCCGAACGCTGTAAGTATCTCTAGTTGCGTGAACGCCAAACTATTGACGCGTATCTTTTGTTCAAGTCACCCTTGTCTTCTAGTTGTTCATCTGTCGTTAGTTGCTGTCTTGTTCTCGCGATCGCTTTGCTGCTCGCACGTATTCCGGTTCCTCTTTATCGTTGTATCTTATTCCGTTATATAATAAACGTTAATTTGTACGCAATCACGTGCGCTTTATTCACATGTATAATTACCCCTGCTATCCGAGGCAACACATATTTTTATGGGTATTCTAATTATATGGCTGGTTATACGATTCACAGTACTATACGTATAAGGTTATTATTGCTAACATTACAGCAATAATTTATATAAAAATAAGCATTCTGATTATAATTATAGTGCCGTGCAACTAAAGAGAGTTCCAAATATCACATACTTTTCTCTCACTGCGTAGACGACTGCGCTATCCTAAGTTAGCAACATGAGATGAGAGTTGCATACGCGAGCTATCGATCCGCGATAGCCGCCGCCGATCGAGTTAACAAACGTCGTAATTCGCGTTTATTTTCATAGCCAACTAAATAAAAAGTTACAGCGCCAGTAGCTCGACGAGTGCAACGCTCGTTAGCGTAACAAATTTAGCAGGCAATACGGTTGGCCGGATTCGATTCGGCGTAAAGTAAGCTCCGGAATTGAACCGATGTAATTGATAGTCGGAACTTATCCTTGCTTTCTCCTTGGGAGGATCTAATGGGTGAGGGTTACTGGTAGCAAGTGCTTTTACTACACCTTAATTTGCCGAGCATGTGCAATTTCACACGATAAAGTCTCGCATTTAGCGTTTCGGGATGATTCGCCCGGAGATCTACTCTTCGGAGGAGGGAACGATCGCCCATAAAATACGCCGACAACTCTAATTTTATGGATAACTTTATGCACTTTTATGGAATGCGCAAAACCTCGAGCGACATTGTCGCGATTGAAATAACAGATAGATTTCATAAATTCAAAGAATGTCTACGTACATCTCTCTATTTTGGAAGGGGCTCAAGTCAAATATAGTCCTTCAAATCTGAATTTTATTTGGATATTTGATCCATGACATCCGTGCCATTAAAAATCGCTTAAAATTTAAAATTGGAGTACATGAAACTCACAGGTTGACTGTGATTGGTTGACTCATTTGACGTCAATGAATTAAAAAGTGTAAGATAAGATTATATATTACGCGCGCCGCAGTATTTCAATTTAAAAGTTGTCTGAGTTATGTTGCACTCGAAGTAAACAGCTTGTACGTTCTTTATGTGCTTTTTTGGCCAGGTTTTTATCTGGATGGTACTTGAGAATGATTAGGTCGCGGACTACTTAAGGATGCTAAAATCGTGTTCCTTAGTTCTTTATTATCCAGCGCGTATCTCAGTTCTTCGCGAAGGAGATGCATGCTTAGGGATCGGTATGAATCGAATGGACTCCATGTAAGAGTACAGTCGAAATAGAAACCTAGGAACATCTAGAGAATTTATAGATTTTATTTAATTGACTTTGTTATTGCTATTTAATGATAACGTTCTTTTAACAATAGGTGAATATTCAAGAATATTATTAAGCATGAATCACATGCAATAAAATTTGTGACAAATATATATTTTTATTTTTTTAACTATTTTCTAAATTTTTGTTTGAATAAATAAATATTCAAACGGTTAATGTTTAAATAAGTATGTTTGAATAGTTAAAGAAAATAACAAAGTAAAAACATACATTTTAAAAAATTGAGTTAAAACAAACTTGATAAAACCGGGATAAAATTGGCTGATAAAATTTTATTGTGTTATGATTGCATTGTAATTTTCGCGTTGATCGCGTCAAGTTTGAGTTTCACTGTTGAACTTTTCGTCTATTACAACTAAATAGTCTCATTTCTTTTCCGAATTAGTGACGGAAAGAATTCCTATGATTTATTATTAAGTCAAACGAGCTTAATCAATTGATCAATGGGTCAATTGATACGATTTATTAGAAGTATAATAATCGCGCTAAAGTCCACTGGAGTATCCAAAACTGTTTGCGCAATTATTCGATCAGATAGTCCTTAAGGATCCATTCATCTTCTATTTTTAACTCCGGCGTGTTGTACGCACACGAACGGAATAAGCTACGGCCTGCTGTTTTTAGCTCAAGCGCAAACAACATTGAGCAATGGGTGCTCCGGGGATATCCGCCGGACAATCGAAAGTTCAGAGTGCATAATTACACCGGTGACAGTACCCCTTAAGTTAGCCGGAATCGCGACTGCCCACACAGGACGACATGAACACGTATAGCCGCGTATACGTTATCGGCCACCACCAACACGTCGTTTCTTGTTTCAATCGGGTTGCAATGGCCAGATTTACCTGCCCTTTTCTGCTACACTGTGCCGACTTCTTTTTATAGATGGGGGATATCTTTAGCGAGCAGGATTTATATCAACAGACCTCGGACAATGGCCGAATTGAAGGACAGAACTACCGCGAACGAGGGTTCCGAAGCTATTCGGCCCAACAGCATCGACGAATAATTAAGAGCGCGCAAAAAGAACTCCAAAATTTGTTGTGACAGAAAATGCATTTAAATGACGGGTCATTTATTTTTACGGGTAGACAAACAGCTCTTTTTGTGTACTTCGGAATGGAGTATGACTTCTGTAAAATATGCCAAAAGTAACCACGCCCAGATTTAGACAAAGCTATTTGAAATTCATATGTCTGCTCTATGACCTTCCGTTTTTGAATCAAGATCTGTAGACAGAAATGAATTTATATTTAAAACGTGTTGCTCAATTCTAAAGAAATTTTTTTCCAAACCTCTTGTGGAGATTTTTTGAAATTCAATGAACACAAATAAATATTCCTTAGTTTACTAATGAATTGATTGCAAGAATGTGTAAGCTTGTGAATGTTCAAACGCATGTCTTACATCTTTTATTTCGTCAGCGCTATCTTAAGCAAAATCTTGTATCTATATACATGTATAAAACTTTTTTTTTTATTTTTCTTTCAGATGCTTGTAAATGTCCCAGACGACGAAAATGACGGGGAAACGACGTGAGTAAAATATATTTGGGACTTTACGTACATTTTAAGCGCGAAAGAGCAAACGTTGTGTGATTTTCTCACCGAATATTTCGACAACGAAGAATCCGCGATTTGCTGTCGCGCGGTGCAACAATGTTCTCGAACGCAGATTCAGGACAACGGAATGTTCCACGGTTCGCAGGCTTTCGGGGGACGCTGTACCATTCGATAGGCACGCAGACCGAAAACAACAGCCCGAGTTATTTCGATCGCCTGTGGGGAATCTTCGGATTCTACAAGTCGCGATACGAAAAAGTACCGGAAGGGTTGCCGCAAAATCAAGCCGAGGAGAACGTAGGACGATTCGCGGCGGAACGGGTAGGAGGAGAAAACGGGGGTACGGGACAGAGAAAAGGAGGGGACGAAGAAAGAGATACACCGCGTGCGAATTCCCTCCTCGCGGCTTGTGCGCGCGGTGCAGTGCCTAACCCTTGGGGCACAGCGTATACCCTTTTCCCCGCCCACCCGTTAGATCCGATGAGCACGCTGCACTCTTCGTCTCCCTCCTTCCGTTGCATTCCCTTATCCCTCTTCCTCTCGTTCCTCTCGTCGCGTTCCTTCGCAGATGCACTCTCTCTCTCTTTCTCCCGGACGCTTCGCACTCCCTCCTTCGCTGCACAAAGTTGCAATTTATAGCCGTCTCTCTCGCTCCCGCGCTCGTCTTTCTCCTTCTCCCCCTACTATAGTGCATATCCCACTCCGGCTTTCCTGCCCTCACCACTTCGCTGAGCCACCCACCAGCTACGCCACTCTCGAGTGTCCTCCCTACATCTCCCTCCCGCGCTCGGGAGTACTCACAGCTGTCCTCTTCGCTCTCTCTTCTCCTCTGTCTCTCGCTCTCACGTTTCACGCCGTTGGCGATCGGCGCGCCGGAGAGCGTCGACAGGCGTCGCGAATTCACTTCTCGCAACTTCGGCTCCGCTCGGTCGGTTCCGAACGCCGGTCAGAGGAATTCACCAGTATGCGCCGCGCTGCCTTGCCGGCAAGTTGTATGTAGTAGATAGGTTTTCTTTCCTGATCGTACGTGCGAGACGTCACTTCTCAAATCACGAGGCAAGCGATTCCAAAGTGTTTGCCCAAGTATTTTTTATCCGTGATACGAATAAGAACACGACTGCTATCGGACGGTTCGTTCACGTGCACGAGAAACGGAGCGCGACCGGCCGCAGCCTAATCGGGAAAGGAGTATCCGCGCGGAGCGATAGCTCGCCGGCGACGAGGATCCGAGGGTATCGATGAGAGATACCGGGAGGAACTGTCTCTCAGAGGCAACAAAGAGCATCAAAGGTCACCGTCATCGCGCTCGCGCCATTGCGGTGGGTTCTTCCGAAAATCACGCCGTCGGCCACGCAGAGTGCTCGCCGCGCAAATCTCGTCACGACACAACGACGAGCAACCATCATCAGTGACGACGTAGAACGTGGATTCAGCCGCTCGTGCGACGGGCCAAGTTCCTATCAAAACATGGCCACGTGACCCTCGGACGGCACGGATTGTAAACACAGAGTTTGACCACGTGGTCTGCTCCCCCTCTTCGCCGCGCCGGGCGCCTATCTGTTACTCTGTCTCTCTCTCTCTCTCTCTCTCTTTCGACTGCCTTCTCTCCATCCTGCTCTCTCTCTCTCTCTCTTGTTGCACACTATTCCCCGCCGTCGTTATCCTCCTCCGACTCTCTCGCTCGTGCGCGCTCTTTCGGCACGCAGAACGCAGCTCGGTAGAATCCTCAGTTGGTTCGCCGCCGTCGTCAGCCACACGCGAGTATACAATCGCAGTCGGTCTGCTGCTCTCCGTGAACCTGTTGTCGAACGTCGCTCAGTTTGGAGCTTCGTCTCCCGCGAGCGCCGATCCGCGCCGCGCATCGTGTCGCGCCGCGTATAAAATTCGTAGCGATTTCACGCTGGTGATGTGTTGAAGAACTGCAGTGCTTGAAGAAACAGAAACACAGCGGCACACACATACACACACGTACATACACACACACGCATATACACACTGAGAGACCAATCCGGCGTGAACGAGCGCTGCGACGAGCGCTACCACGAGCGGTGCCACGAGCCTTCGCCGAGGACGTACGAAGGCCGTCGCTGACACATACACACACACGCGCGTTACATACATATACACGTCTAGTGATAGTGCGATCGAAACGCGACAACCTAAGTCGTCTCGCTCGCGCGTGAACGGGTTTTCTCAGTGCCCAACGCCGTCGATCGCCGATCGTACGTTGCCGATCACCGCGGAGTTTCGTATCCGTCCCGTGGACTCTTTTAAGTTTGCACAGCAGCGCGCGAAAATGATGGATTCGGGGCCGGCGTCAGGGTCGCTGACTCCGTCGCAGCAGCAGCAACAGCAGCAACAGAAGAAGGGGGTCTCCTTCGAGTTTCCGACCTCGCCGGACCTGGAGACCGGCTTCGAGCCGCAAACCAGAGCGCGATCCAACACATGGCCGCTGCCGCGACCCGAAGGATACGTGGAGGGCAACGCGCCGGCCACGAAGGAAGGTGCCGAGGGCGGTACACCACCTCATCAGACGCAACTCGCCCAGGGCGGTCTGTTGCCCGTGAAGAAGAATTCGTCGAGAAGGAACGCTTGGGGAAACCTCAGCTACGCCGACCTGATCACGCAGGCGATCACCAGCGCGCCCGAGCAGCGGCTCACTCTTTCGCAGATCTACGAGTGGATGGTCCAGAACGTATCCTACTTTAAGGACAAGGGCGACAACAACAGCAGCGCCGGTTGGAAGGTGAGTGAATTCTCTTTGCGCCACTCTTTCGAATCTAATTTTGAGAAATACATCACATTGATCTGTGTTACATTTTAATTCCAATTTAAACATTAGGTTGCTTTTAACCTAATTGAGATTAAGAATGAGAACGATTAAGAAAGTATTATCCAATAACGTGAAATCCTCTAATTATAAGAGAAATTTCTATAAGTATCACACACATAATTTAACGATAACTGGTTACGGCAATGATGTTGATAATGATGAATTTCCAAACTGCATGAATTTCTCAGAATTTTTGTCGCCACAATTTATGTATTTTAATGGATGTTCTCTTATCACGCGATTAATTTTTTTATCGCTCTACTAAGACAGTCTTTCTTTTTAACAACCGTGTAATATAATTTTCCTAAAACGATGACTCGCATGAAACGCGAGAAAACATAAAAGTCCACGTTCTCGAATTGTGGCTAGCCAGAGTTTCGTGTGCAAGAAACGCGCGATTTTTATCACGTTAACCGAGCTAAATGTGCGGTGTGAATGCCAAACCGAAGTCACTCGGAATCACGTTTACAGTAGTATAAAGACTTCGTATGGAAACAATTGAGACACGCGACAATGCGAAGGTTAGACATGAGAATTCATCCGGCTGGAATTTACACGCATGTAACGATATTTTTGATGATTCACGTTGCGCGATTACGTTACGGACCGACATTTCAGACAAACGTCTGAGAAGAAACTACAGCTCATGTATTTTTACATTTAAAAAATTTTTAATAATTTAATTATTAAAATTGTGTATATATTTGTTTGTTTAATTTCTTGATTAAATTTTTAATTTATGTTAATATTATATTATTAGCATTATATTAGAGGTCGATATTTCACACATTCACTCTTTGTATTCTCATTATTCTTATTAGCACTTAAAATTTATCTAACAGAAATTAATTTTTCTCCATAAAGATTGATATTTTGTGATTAAATCGAAAATCGATATTTTCGAAAAAAATCAACATTTTATGATTAATTCGAAATTTAGTTTAATATAACATAATATAATTAATTTAACATAGTTCAAGTTTTAATCTTTGTGTAATTAACTAAACCAAGTAGTAACAAGATATGATACATTAGCTTTTTTAATGATAAAAGTTTCAAATTATTTTTTGATTGTGAAAGTATCACTCTCTTATTTTATTATACTACTTTCCATCTTTTTAATAATAGAAATCAATTCGAGTAGTTTTAAATATACACTTTACTGTTTCGATAAGCTTATCTAATAGTTGATAAAGAGATAATAATACATGAAGCACTTTTTTCTTTTGTAATCGAATTTATTTACATAGATTTTATGCCTTGTCACAAGATTTGTTATTACAATATTGCATTTGTATCACGGTATTATCTCTCAAATGAAGACAAAAGTCATAATTACAACTATAAAAATAATGAAATCGAAAGATATAACCAATTGTTGCGACTAAAACAGAATTTTTAAATAAATGGTTATCCTATATATTATTAATATGTTAATTAATATTAAAATAGCTCGTATAAAACGACAGTTGATCTTTTAATGAAATTAAACGAATGTAACGCAAATACTGGCCGAACAAAACGTTAGAACTGTAAAGCGAGTGTTTATGTTGAACTATTTAGCGCGGTACGCATAATTAAAACGTTAATAATGCATTATAGTGTTTACAATTATAAAGCTCGAGCTTCTAGCTCAGCGAGTTCGACGTTCCGCGTAACGTATAGCCGGTGAGATACCTCGTTTTCGTATTTCATTACAATGCTCGCTAATTCGCCATCAAATTTGAAGTAATGCGATCTTGGAATTATAATTCTTCTTTTGCATAAATTATATTGGCTGTGTAAACCTATTTTATTACTGCAATACGCCAAACTGTGACGGAAGAAGCTTGTTTTAAATGGAAAGATATTTCTTTGATTTTTCGAGTTTGTTTAGTTTGGCACTTGCACTGTTTTTCAAACACGCTTCACAATTTGAAAACTATGTGATTTAAGTCCACAATTTCTAAGATTTCAGTGGCTCAGAGAGTACCAATTATTAAAATCTTATCTTAAATTAAATTAGAATAATTTAGCAATTGCCATAGCGTTTTTTAACGATTCTTTACAATTCTTATATGCGAGGTACGTTTGCCAAACTAATATTTTTCTTGTTTAAATAAAATGGAAATCCTGCGTGAAAGATTTGGATCATTTACAGTATTTAATTAACTTAGCATACCGCGTGCAAGGGTAATGATCAACATTTTTCTACATTATTATTTCTGTTCTGAAAATCTGTCTCGTTGAAGCATCGTTCTAATATCCGACGAAAAAATATGTTTTTTGTATTTTGAACTTGTTTAGTTGGCATTTACATCATTTTTAATTACTAGTTTATTATTCATATTTGGAATGACACCAATATTATTCGTGATTTGGGGCTTCGAAGAAAAGATTTCAAAGATTTCAGACAAGAAGTTATTACTTCCAATTGCAATATATTTAAAGTTAGCAAAGCTGTTTAGACATAGTTGAGCTGATGAAGAAAGTTATTGTAATTCTTAGGCAGATAGTCAGGGTTAATAATATAGGGTTAAGAATCTCCATAATTCGTCAAATTTTAATGTGCCAGGTGACACAAGTTGAAGCCATGTTTTTCTCGTCTCTTTCTCTTTCTCTCTTTCTCTCTCCTTCGTATTTATGTAAAATATTAGAAATTGACGGTTAGGCACCTATGGCACTTAGCCACTCAATTATCGTGCTCCGAGCCAACGCGTCAAACTCGCGGCAAGAATCCACGCTAAAAATCCACGGAGGCGGGAGCTGCAGCTGCGAACTTGCGGATGCAAGTCGCGCAGAGCGGCGGCGACGGCGGCGGCGGCGGCGACGACGACGGCGTGTAGTCACGTGGTGCGGTCGAGTCGAGGGAGAGAGATATCTGTATCTTCTCCTGTGTGTTTCCCGCGCGCGCACACGAGAGAATGCATACCGACGCAAAATGCAGCCGGGAAGTTTTAAGGCCCGTTTGCACCGTTCATTCGCGCAGCGCAACGCTGTATCCCCGCTGCCGCCACGGCCATCATCGTCGACGTCACGTCGGGTCGAAGTACACACATAAATCGATGCCGCTGGATGGACAATCGCTTCGTCGCTCGTTTCGCTCTCTCAAACGGCGAACGACGTGTATTATTTATGCACGGGTTGCGCGACACGCGAAAGCGCCCGACGAAAGTTCAGGGATACGTTCCGAGAATTCGAAGAAGGAAGGCGTTTTTACGCAGGCATTTAACGTTTATTTTATTCGAGATCGTCTACAATGACAATCGATAGCGAGTTGTGTGCGTCGGATGCGAGGAAATTGCGAGGAATCATGTGTGGAATGCGCTATTATGATGGCATTCCCTTTCAATTAGAAATATTTCATTAAAAACCAGTCGGAGATATTATAGTGTCAGTTTTATTATTACTAAGAATTTACTGATCAATTTTAATGACGGAGATCGTGAATAAACAGAGCTTATCTTAGGGAAATTTCTTCTCCCCTCTCCCCTTTTATACCGAGATACTTTCCACAGTGTACTTATCACCCCATCAATTATGTTGTTCGAAGTTATGGTAACATCACTGAAACTCGAGTAACGCATTGCGAGCACAATAATTGCTGCTCCTTCTGGTGTGCCTTCTGGTGGAGCTCGTTTGTTGAGAAATTTTATTAGAACGCGTGATAACGCCGGACGATGCGTGCCGTCGGCGCGGTGTGAATCATCCTTTACGCGCGAATTAGACAGGTCTCATAGATAACAGATTTCTCACCTAAGACATTTTGCACGGCGAACGCAATCATGTCTCTCGCGTTTTAACAAGCTTTTCGCGAGATTTAACCTAACCTAACGATGACATTAAAACGATGGATTCACTTTACAAATTACCGGTACCATTTACGAAGCGAAGCATCGAAGGAACGAATTGCAGCATGAATTCTTCGCGGAGAAGAATTTTATCCCGCAATTTGCCGCCTAATGGTGGCCTGTAACGAACAGTGCGTGCTATAATGATCGCGCGTTACAGCCGCGCCTCGCGCTATAACAGAAAAGAAGGCAGGGACGAAGGAGTAGCGGGAGGAGGAAGCGAGTACGTATTCACGTTTATGCTGAAATGTGAAAAGCCCCTGAGCTATCGTGCGGCGCCGTTGGATAGAGTTGCTCGGATCTCGTGCTACAGCGTTAGAGGTTTGGAATTCTAGCGCAGCGTGGTGGAAAGAACGAGGTGTCGTGGAGCCGTGAAATCGGCCAAAAGGTCACTCATCCGTCTGGTTTTAAGACCAGCGGTGGTTGGCGCCCGTCATTACAAAACTCTCCCTCCCTTCATTCGGCGGCATGATCGCTGGCGGATCCTTCCATAATGATTAGAGGCGGCCCCGCGCGTGCTTTAACGACCGACGGAGAACTCGGCTAACTGTCCGACCGTCTCTTCGCGGTATCTCTGCGCTGTTACGGCGCGGTAGATACTGGAACACTACCGGTCAGTGAAATCGGAACGCCACGGAGAATGCTGGATGCCTGCGTGAGAGCGTTATCACAGGATTATCTGACTTCTTCGGAAAAGAAGAATTAACGTGTCGCCGAGATGGCGACAACTTTAAGGGGGAATCGTCTGATAAAATTAAAATTATTAAGGTCGTTTGAGTTTTTAAAGACTTCTGGAATGAAGACCATCGAGTGTAAGGTCTATGTTTTATTATGTTCAGTGTAAAAATGGTATAAAATTAGTATTTATGAGGAAAGAATCTAGTAATTCTTTATATATTTTTTTATTTAATATTTTTGTATGTTCTGAAGGAAGTGATTTACGTTTCGAGGCCGTATTGCTGGCACTGAGAGAATTAAATTTATCGGGGAATATTTAGGGGATAAGCAATTTCTGAAGAAAATGGCGGTTTAATTGATTGATCGTAAAATAGAACTAACAATAAATAGCTACTAAGGAAAATT